GTCACGTCGACTTGATGAGTTTCGTCGGATATAATTTTTAAAAAAATATTAATTAAAAATAATATTAAAAAAAACTTAAATAAATACAAAATAATTTTATTACAACCTAATACAATGTATAATAATATTTATTTATATTTTCGTTGTTCTTGACAATGTTGAGGAGTGATCAAATGATAATGGCATGTGGCTTGTCGAATATGTCAGGGCCGTCTGCTTTGATCGTATACGTCTTCATCTTCGTTTGCTTCTTGAAGAGCACGTGTACTGAACATCAGTCCACTTTGAGATGCACCTTTGAAATACAGTGATGAGCTTATGGTATTTGACGCTATCATTGTCGTCATTGACTCGACTTGACTATGTTGTTGACCATATATAATATTATCTCATTCATCCTCACCGACATATTCGGTCGAAGATGCTTGGGTGTTTTGCATTACATCCCATGAACCTCTAACACAATTCGGCTAAGTCTCCGTTGAAGAATGATATAGAGAATAAAAATCAAAACTGATCTGAGATGGAAAATAATTGACAGAAGTAGAAGACGAAGATGTTGGTGATTATTATTTGGGCTTTGTGAATTTGACCTTTCCTTGTTTCCATTCTTCTTTCACTTTTGATGTCGTTAAATATGAATTCCCATTTGCTTCATAATTTCGGAGGTAGAGATAAATATTGAAATTAAGGTTAAGGGATGTAATATCATAATGTATAGGGATTGATAAATGACGTTGATTTTATTGCTCAACGTAATTAACATGCTTCCTTGACCAATTGTCTTTATGCTTCCCACGCAAATCAATTCTATGGAGTTTGTCCATATCAAATATTTGAGTAGGAATCGGTTGATGAAACCCAAACTGTATCAACACTCTATCTACGACGTGCATCTCAACAATTGCAAAGTGTAGCAAAGGCGTAACGACACACTACAACTTTGACCTTTCAAAAAATCCCGTGGCAGTAACCAATATATCTCATCATCCTAATATGGGATCCAAGAAAAATATAAACATTAATAATAAAATTTAGTATAAATAAAGTGAAAAAAATTAATTAAATTTTAGTAATTTAAAAAATTAATATTTACTACATGCCGATCGACGATATCGATTCTCATTCGTATATCTTTTTTAATGGTGTCCTACAACTTGGTCTCGACAATTTTATGTTGTCATTTAAATAATATAAAAATATCAAAAAATAAAATTAAAAAATTACGGAAAAAATAATGTTAAAAAACTACCTTGCAGCGAGAGGAAACTCAACTAGGCTGCTATAATTAGCATAAAAACGGGAACTGGTACCACACCCACGATTGTAGCAGGACTAGACAACTAGTTATATCTACTTTGTGATCTCATTCGATGATTGTAGCCTTGTAAAGTTTTGGTATAAAAAAGTCAAAATTATCAGATCTGAATGGGCTAGTTGTTTTTGTAATTCCTCCAGTTTCAGTGGAATTTAATCATGTCCCTTTGACAGCTCTAATGCCCTTTAAATTCTTTTAAATTTTTCTTGTTAGTTTCATGTTTCTTTTAATTTCGTCCAAGTTTATGTTTATTTATATGCTATTTAATCATGTTATTACCATTTATCCTTGTGTGGGTCGCTTAGATTTATTTTTATTTCATTTTAATACTAGATGATGGTTTATTGTTGGTTCAGTCTTGTTCATTTGTTTTTGCATTTCGAATTTGATATGTATTTTTTTTATTATGTTCATTTTAATCTAAATTTGGTTTATTTTCGTTGCCTTCGAATTTGAGTTTATTTTCATTTTTTTACTTTTATTCTATTTCTTCATTATTTTAATATCCATCTTTTATATTTTGTTATTTAACTTATTTAGGTCCTAGTTTGTTCATTTATATTTTTCAAATACGAGTTGCTATGTTTGCATCTTCGTATTTGTGTCCTTCGTCTACCTATTTGTTTAATTTCTTGTTACCTGTTCCAGATTACCATGTTTATGTCATTAAGTCCCAGTTGTCTTCTTGGTACATACGCATGCCATACGTGTAAATATATACCATATAGTTGGATCATAATATAAATATCTGCTACATGGTGATAATTTTTTTAGGAATTACTTTTATTTCAAGTGTTAAACAGGTCTAGTTTGACATTCCAAACAGGCATTGTGATTTGTGAGAAGGGGAATCATAGCTGATGAAGCAGAATCATATTCTTCTTTTGTCTGGTCATTTTTTATGCCATGCGATGCGTTGGTCGTTGGTTCATTCCATATTTTCTTTTCAAAAATGGGTAGTCATTTAATTGTTTCCATATTTAAAGGTTTCCTTTTTAACAACTTTCAATTTCTAAATTTAGTGGGGGATATCTGACTTGTACTGGGTTCGCAGTTCAGAGCAGATCCAAAGCAAGAAGGTGGAGTATTTTATTTTGCTTGCTTATAAATAAATGAATGGATCACACCGGCGATTTTCCTCATAAATCATTTTTTTCCTTTTATTTTTATCTGTCACACATGTATTTTTCGATTTAATACCTCTTGTAGAAAGATACGACTCATGCACCACATCTTATACTAATGCAGCATCACGTGTTGAAAGGTGCGGCTCGTGCACCGCGCCTTATGTAAACATGTAAAAATCATGTGCTAATTTTGTAAATTTTTAAAATGATGCCTAATATGTAAATATTTTTTGTTAGGGTAATTTTTGTGTAAAAACGTCGATTTTTTTTTTTAAATTTGTGTAAAAAAAACTTTCTAAGTTAAAATCTTTAAATTTTCTTTACAAATTATTTTATAACTCGACAATTTTTTTTTGCATAAAATTACACAATATATATAATATAGTATAGTAAAACTTTGAAGGTAAGTAATTTAAAATATGAATAATTTTATAAAAGTTTTATAACTAGTATATCTTTTACAAAATGATGATGATGGTGATAATAATAAGAAATATTTTATAATTTAAAAAATAATAAATTTTATATATTTTTGAAAAATTTATTGACTTTTAAAATTAATTGTTTAAAAATATAAAAAATATTAAAATAAACTTTTAATTATAATTACGGATCAAATGAATTATTATTTATTATTTTTTAACAACAGTTAATAATGTTTATTCATTTTTAATAATGAATGAATAATAATTCATTTGATCTCGCAGTTATAATTAAAAGTTTATTTGATCTCGCAATTCTAATTTATTAAAAATGAATAAACATTATTAACTGTTGTTAAAAAATAATAATTAATGAATAATAATTCGTTTGATCCCACAATTGTAATAAAAATTTATTTTAAATTTTTTTATATTTTTAAACAATTAATTTTAAAAGACAATAAATTTTTCAAAATTATAAAATATTTATAATTTAAATTACTAGTTATAAAATATTAAAAGTTTGAAAAATTACACAATAAATTATATGAAATTTATTTCAAAATAAGTTTTTATAATTTTTCAAATTTTTTTTTGCATGAAATTACAGAATATATATATAATATAGTATAGTAAAACTTTCAAGGTAAGTAATTTAAAATATGAATAATTTTATAAAAGTTTTATAACTAGTATATCTTTTACAAAATGATGATGATGGTGATAATAATAAGAAATATTTTATAATTTAAAAAATAATAAATTTCATATATTTTTAAAAAATTTATTGACTTTTAAAATTAATTGTTTAAAAATATAAAAAATATTAAAATAAACTTTTAATTATAATTACGGGATCAAATGAATTATTATTTATTATTTTTTAACAACAGTTAATAATGTTTATTCATTTTTAATAATGAATGAATAATAATTCATTTGATCCCGCAGTTATAATTAAAAGTTTATTTGATCCCGCAATTCTAATTTTATTAAAAATGAATAAACATTATTAACTGTTGTTAAAAAATAATAATTAATGAATAATAATTCGTTTGATCCCACAATTGTAATAAAAAAATTATTTTAAATTTTTTTATATTTTTAAACAATTAATTTTAAAAGATAATAAATTTTTTAAATTATAAAATATTTCTTATCATCATCATCATTTTATAAAATAAATACTAGTTATAAAATTTTTATAAAATTATTTATATTTTAAATTACTTATGCTCAAAGTTTTTTTATATTAGTTTATACGTATTGTGTAATTTCATGCAAAAATTAAAATTTATCGAGTTATAAAACCATTTGTAAAAGAATATTTAAAGATTTTAATATATAATTTTTTTCACACACACATAATAAATAAAAATTAATTTATATTTTTACACAAAAATCACCCTAATAAAAATATTTACATATTAAATTTATTTTAAAAATATTTACAAAATTAACATTTAATTTTTACATAGAGACATAATACGCGATGTATGGACCGTGAATTGCAACACACGTACGCGGTGTATGGGTCATGATTTTCTACAAAAAAAAAAGATAAATGATCAAAAAATATATCTGAAATTGTATCATAAAAGTAATATGTGACTTTTGGGAAAAATCGCCGAATATCACCCTGTTTGTTGACTCCTAGATTTTTGTCTTCCTTTTAAACCTTCCATGTCTTCCCTCCATCGTTTTTAAAACTGGATCGGTTAACGAACCGGTCATGTTATCGATTCACTAGTTTAATCAATTGAATCGGTTTGATCGGTTAGAAGAATCGAACGATGTGAAAATTATTTAAAAAATTAAATAAAAATATCAAAAATATTTAATAAAAAATAATTTTTTATATTACAAATCATATTTAAAGCAATTTATAATATATATATATATATATATATATATATATATATATATATATATATATATATATATATATATATATATATAAAGTTAAAAGTTCCCTCTAATTCTCTCTCTCTCTTTCCTTTGTTATTGCCCCTTTCTATTTTAAATGAATTCCCTCAATTCCTAAAAGCTTCCCCCATTTACTTTTCCTCTTCATCTCCATGAGCCCAGAACCAAGCTCAACATAATCCCTCCTTTTGTCGCCTTCTCTCCGCCATGGTAACCACCACCATCCCTCAACCCCCAAACACCCAAATCCAAAGCGTTCTCATTGTCGGTAACTACTGCCACGATGTCCTTCTCCAAGGGGGCGCCTTCGTCGCCGAAACCCTCGGCGGAGCCGCCACTTTCATCTCCAACGTCTTTAGCGCTCTCTTCGTTTCTTTCCATCTAACATCGAAAGTCGGCTTCGATTTTAGATACCCGGTTAATCACGACCCCATCGTGATCCCCACCTCTAAAACCACCGTTTTCCACGCCTATTTCGATCAGGGCCATTCCGAGAATGCTCATCAAGATCGGGTCTTGAAACGGGTCGAGGTTTGCGATCCGATTAATTCGTCTGATCTGCCCGACAAAAGGTTCGTTTTCGGAATGGCGGTTGGGGTCGGCGGGGAGATATTGCCCGCAACGCTGGAAAAGATGGTTGCAATATGCGACGCCGTCTTCGTCGATGTTTAAGCTTTGATTCGTACTTTTGACATAAACGACGGGACGGTAAAGCTTGTGGGGTTAAAAGAGAGTGAGTTTTACCATTTATTACCGCGGGTAGAGTTTTTGAAGGCGTCATCGGAGGAGGCGCTCTTTATGGACGTTGATGAAGTGAAGCAAATGTGTTGTGTGGTGGTAACGCATGGGAAAGATGGGTGTGAAGTTCATCGGAAAGATGGGGTAGTGAAAATTGAGCCTTTTGTGGCTAACCAGATTGATCCGACCGGCGCTGGAGACAGCTTTTTGGGTGGGTTTGTGGGCGGATTGGTCCATGGTTTGGTTGTTCCCGATGCTGCTCTGATGGGTAACCTTTTTGGTTCACGTACTGTTGGTCAAATTGGCCTCTCTAAGTTCGACTCGAGATTGTTACAGGTTTGTTGCTTCATATTTTCGGGGTATTTTGGTGTTACATTCATTTCATGAATATGAAATTGTTTCTGCTGACATTTAGGTACTATTTCATTGGATTTGTTCTTTTCCCCCCCCCCCCTCTCAAAATGTGCAGTTTCAGTGATTTGATAGTGAAATTTATTGTGTTATTGTTGGCAAATGGTAATTTTTTTTTACAATATTGATGCTGGTTGCATGCAATGGAACAATTTGAAATGTCCATTGATTGAAAGTGTCATTTTGTGTAGCACAAGTACATGCATGGCAATATTCTTCAAGCAGAGTGAATTATGTGGATCTCTGTGTTGGAAGTTGGGTTAAATGTCTAGAATGTCCATTGTATGTAGAGTCGAATCGATGTAAACTGGAAAGGTGGACCATATGATAGTCATGCTGCTTCTCTTTTATGTAATATCTGCAATTGGAATCCAAGTGCATGATTTCTTCCCATAGTTAAAAATATAGGAACCTTATTTTTGTCTATAGTATATGTTCAGTCGACTGTAATGCGTCATAAGTTGTATATTACTGTTATGTATACGCTTTCGAAACTGAAATTTGCAACTTTCGTAGCTCTATCCTGGAGGAACTGGATAGTATAACTGTTAAATAAATCATTTTTAGGGAACTCTGGTTAGTTTTTGTGTGTATGTTTTTCGACGGATACAACTACTTTGCGTATTTCTCTCCCTTTGCTCTATGATGATTTGTTGATTCAAGATTTTCTGAAATGGCACTGCTAAATTGCTTTCCTAAATAGTTGCTGTGAATTTGTCTTCGTTGAATTATTTATAAAGTGTAAAAGTATTGCTCTATCTTCCCCGTTGTGTCTTAAATGAAGACGTTAGGTTGTTTTTATTATCCCGAGCCAGGCTCTATTTATGCATCGACATTCATGTTAAGACATTACTCTCGAGTCTCGACCGGCATGAGAGGCTTCTTCTAGAAAGTCTTACTCTTGAAACAGAACACATCTGCTTCCTATTTTTTTTGTTCTTTCTATCATGGCTTCTTGGGGAACTTGTAATGTGCTATAGTTGTATAGCATTTGGCTCCTTCAAATGATCACACAATAACTGTCTTCTTTAGGGTTACAGAGTGAAAACCATGCACTTGAGACTCCATAAAACCTGGCGAATGCTTCTTTCATGAAGTGGTGTGTTACTAATCAACTTTTTTTTTTTTTGTCTCTTTGACATTTCAGAGAATTAAGGATGAAGTGCAAAGAAGGAAGCTGCACAGTACAAGCTGGTTTGAGAGCGGAGATGATGATTCGATGAGTTTTACAAAGCCAGGCGGGCATGAAGAATTCCATGGTTCCCTTCCATCGAGTAAATTAGGTTTAACATGCTCTGTTCCAGGGAGCGTAGAGCAGGTTACCAGGGCCCCATGTAACGGGCAGCAGCAGTTGTTAGTAGTTTCTGTTAATGATAACCGATTTAAGCATTAGCGGGAGCATTTCCCCTTTGTGGTGTATTAATCATCAAATAAGTTGGGGGCGAGTGAAGAGCCTTTAAATGAGAAGCGGGTAAATACATGTAGCAACAATGCTTGCATGTTAATGTATATTTTAGAAAAAAGCTGCAGTTTCATTTAATTTAATTAATGGTTGAATTTGCGATTTTATTATTATTAACTAGTAATCAAAATTGTTTTCAAGTCTTTATTTGGAGGTTTGACTTAACCAAAATCACCCGTAATCTTAATGTCATCTTACCTGTCACCCTGGCGAATTGGTTGTAATTGTTTTTATTAATTTAAAATCTTACAAATGATTAAAGATTTTTAATCAATTAACAATGAAGGTATAAATATTTTACAGTTTTTAGTGTTCGAATCTGGGACTTAAATTTGAGACTTTTAGAATATTATTTAGTTCTTGCAATGACAACTTATTGAAAAATTTAGACTAATTAATATATTATCTAAAATTAAATATAATAAGTAATAACTTAATTCTATATATTAAATCAAGTAATAGAAAAAGATGATATATGCATTTGAAAGAAAATTCTAAAATGCATGTCATTCATTATAATTCACCATTAATTTACAAATAGTCATTATGTCAAAATTTTCTTTTTGAACATTAAACTTTTAAAAGTTACATAATGAATATTAAATTTTAACTTTGTTACAAAAATGGGCACAAAACCATTAAAAATATCTCATTTGACCCTTCAGTTATAACTAAAATTTAATTTTACTCTTAATTTTAATTGAAATAATTTTTATTAGGTTCATTGAATTGAAAATGAAAATAGTTATAGATAAAATAAAAATCATCTTTTAATTTTATATTATAAATATTAAATTTATACCATATAAATTAAAAATTATTTGATATGATACTATAATATTATGGATGCATGATTTTTAAATTACATTTAAATTTGTTAAATAAAAGTTAAATGTTTAAATCAAATCATTAATAAAAAATAATTTTATTATTTGATAATATAAATTTTCGGACATCAAAGATTAAAAAAATTATTTTAAAAATACGAAAAATATTAAATAAATAATTAGTTATAAAATGATTTTTTAATAAAAAATTAATTTCATTGTTTGATTACTGAACTTTTTGAAAAAAAATAATTTTAAATTTATTTTCATATATTTTTTAACAAATTATAAAATTTTTATTTTTTTAGAATTATTACTTAAAATCTTTGAAAAATATTAAAATAATTATTTATTTTTAAGAGGTTAAATAAGATATTTCTCATTAATTTAGTGATTGTTATTTTTTTTTTTGACAAAGTTTAATCTCTATTTTGTATCTTTTAAAAATTCAATGCCAAATAAAATCCAATTTAAAAATTTTGTGACTATTTTTAAATTTTATCATATTTTATATTAGTGATGCATTTTAATATATGTTATTAGTAGTGCATTTTGATGGATGTCACTCATGGTAAACTCACCCCGCATTTGAATATATATTTTTAACATTATTTTTCATATATACATAAACATTATTACCTTTGTCTCTAAAATTTTTCTTTATTAACTTTTTAAAAGTTAAAATTTTGAAACTTTGATTATAATTATTTTAAAAATTTTTAAAAATTATATTTTATATAATATATATTTTAAAACTACTAGATTGAAAGTTTTTAAAATATATTTTTTATATTTTTATTAATAATAAAGTTTAAATAATAAAAAATTAAAGTTAAAAAATGACTAAAAATAGTTAATAATGAACATTTTAAGTAGGACGGAAGAATTATTTATAGAGCGCTTTTTCATACGCATATTAGGGGCGAAATCAGACAACAAATAATGTAAATGAAATAATCAATTGACAAAATAAAACATCTTTAAATATATTTTTAGGATTTATAATGTTTATTATAACATTTCAAAACTCATCGCTCTCACATAATGAGTTTCAAATTATATAGTAAATAATCATAAATCCCAAAATAAATTTTCACCAACGATATATTTTAAATTTTTTTAACGCTATGGTTATTTTGCGATAATTTTGCCATATTTTGGGTATAGCCAAAATATGTAGACTCGGTTATGGATAAAGACGCAGCTTTCTTCCAATTTGGCAAGTTTTCATGAATCCCAAGAGGCCGTTTCCACAAGTCCTAAACAACAGCTTATATGTTCAACGTGTCATAAAGCAAGTGAAAGATGTGATTTTCATCAGCTAAACAAAGTCTGCTTTAAAACTCTCCCTAAAAACTCCCAAAGATCTTAAATAAAAAGTTCCATCTCCAAGGATTTATCAAGGACTTAACTGGGAATAAAGAAAGACTCAAACTTTGATATTTATAGAGGGATTTCACCACTATCAGCAATCACAACTTTGCTCTTGGGTGTCCCACTCTGCTTGCCTTCGGCTTCGATTTTGTAGACCACATCCATACCGGACAGCACCTTTCCGAACACGACATGTCTGCCATCCAACCTGTACATGGTACTCATTGATTAGGAACAATGTAAAACTTAGAAACATATAAACATATTAACTGTTTGCGACTGTCAAATTGTAAATTACCAGCTCGTTGTCACAGTTGTAACGAAGAATTGTGACCCATTTGTGTCAGGACCTGCATTTGCCATTGACAGAAACCCTATATTTCCACAAAAAGAAGAGAAGGAAAACAAGGTTCATGATTGTCATAAAATTTCAGTCTTTTCCTTTATGCATAGCACTTGATATAGTGACATATTGGCTCTCACCAGGTCCAGTGTGCTTCAGCTTGAAATTCTCATCGGCAAATTTCTCACCATAGATTGATTCTCCACCTCTTCCATCACCAAGTGTAAAATCACCACCTTGAATCATGAAGTTTGGAATAATCCGGTGAAACACACTTCCTTTGTAGTGAAGAGGCTTCCCACTCTTTCCAACACCCTTTTCCCCTGTAATGGAAACGGCTCTACATTAAACAATTGTTGCTAGTGGTTTTTCCTAGTCCTACAGCCGTTACATCTTTAAGGTAACTAAGGTTGATCAAAGAGATAACTCATACCTGTGCAGAGTGCTCGGAAATTTTCTGCATATAAGAAAGTTTAAGCCGATCAGAAAAATAACTGCTAAGATAATTGTAGACTAAATCCGTTAATTTAGCCATAACAACATCATACCTGCTGTTTTTGGAACTGCCTTTCCGAAGAGTCCCATAACAACTCGACCTATGAACAATAGTTCAGTAATCTTTTAGCAGTCTAAATCGAAAGCACAAGCAGCTATAATGCAAAGCAACATATAATTTCTATACGGAAATCCATATGGAATGATTAGTTTGCAGTTCTCTCCCAATATCAAACTAAATCAGCATTCCTTCTCAAGATAAGTTGCTTCTTAAGCGAAAAACCCTTCTTCGAAGAAACATTTAGACATACACCATTGGCAATTCATGACACATCTTAAGGGATAGCATTTAAGCTTTTATCACAACAGATCCAATGGGATTAATCCATAAGTAAGAGAAGTGAAGCATACCAGCAGGTTTTCCGGCAATTTCAACATCAAAGTAAACTTTGTGAGTAACTTCTTTCAGATCTTCCTTGGACTTTTTTGCCTGAAAATTCCAAGAAAAAAACACAACAAATAATGAAATTCACTAATCATATCAGATTATCGTCAAATTCATCTATCTAATTGTAAGCAAACCACAGCATCAGTCTTAAGCTCAATAAACTGTGCGAATCAAATAAAAAAAATCATCGAACAATCAGTCAAGAAAAACAAAGAAACCCAGAAGACCTTAACAAAACATAAAGCGATTTTCACATTTTATTCACAGACCAAGACGAAAAAAAAAATCAAAACCCAGAACTAAAAAAGGGAAAACCATGAATAAAAGGGTGGACCTGAGTAAGAGCTAGAGATCCAAGAAGGACCAAAGTGCAAAGCAAGGTGAGAGGCAGCAATCGTGATCTATCCATCTCTTTGAGTATTTTGTTTTTCAATTATCTACGGAATGCGATGAACTGAAGCGAGAAAAAAAACAAAAGAACTATATACTGGGCAGGACGTCACAGGCATACTGATCAGCCAATAACCGTTCGCCGCGTCCTTTAATGGTTGATCTGTTTGATTGTCATTGGTTCTAGGGTTGTTTTGGTTTTGAAAAAAAAACTATTAAATAAACTCCTCTAATTATTTATCTATTAAATATACTGGGTAGGACGTCACAGGCATACTGATCAGCCAATAAGCGTCCGCCGCGTATTTTAATGATTGATCTGTTTGATTGTCATTGGTTCTAGGGTTGTTTTTGTTTTGAAAAAAAGAAACTATTAAACAAACTCCTCTAATTATATGTTATCTGCAGTTCCACCAATAAAAGTTATCCCACTCATCCTTTTTCCCTTCATATTATATTTTTTAAGAATGATTTTTTACTTTTTTTTTCATGTAAATATAAAAGTGAGTGATTACTGGAAAGTTATTTACACGTGGATTAGTGACATGGTAAAAAAGTTTGAGATTATTAATGGAGATTATAGACTATATGATAATAAAAGTTTGTCACACCCTAAATTAGGGATAAAATTTTGTGAATTTTATTTTTGGGATTAAATTAAAAATTCAATAAAATTTGGGGATCCAACTTAAAATTTTAAATATGATAGGGATAAATTTATGAATTATGAAAGACTAGAAGACCTACGATATAATGTTATCATTTTTTTATATTGGGTTTAAAATACCCAAAATTAAAAACCTTAGTTTTTCTCTCTCTCCAATTTTTTTTGGGCATTTCTTCTCTAAGAATATTTCAATGTCGTTTTATCGTTGATCGTTACTTCGTTTAGTGCATCGCCCATATCGTTGGATTCCTTGTGTCGTTATGAGTTCATCAGTTTCCACTTTGTCACCAACATCACCGGCGTGTGAAGGGGTGAAGGAAAAATAAGTTCTTCGACATTACCAAATTAAGTTCTCCGTTATTCATTGTTGTGAACCGAACTAGGTAAGTGTCTTAAAACGCTTAAAAATATTTTTATAAAATTTTTCGTAATTTTTTAGAATTAAGAAGACCCCGCACGCAGCTCCAAGCACCGTCGCTGATCGTGGGGCTTGTCATCGCCCTAGTGGGCTTCTAGAAGTAGGTCAACCTGACCCACTACCCAATTCGTACCCGTATTCGACCCGAACCGTATACCTGTATAGCCCAAACACAATCGAATCGGTCCAACCCAAACCTGCCCAATCGAGCCGAGACGAGCTGAGTCATTGACTGTTGACCGGCGTTAACTTTGACCATTAACCGACATTGATTTTTTTCAAAAACCTTCTTCTAGATTTTTTTCGACGTCCTGAGTTTGATTTTGCAGTTCGTTTTTCCAAACTCTAACCCTAAAACCCTGAATCGAGCTTGTTAAACAAAAAATACTTAGTATTTTTAGCATTTCTGCAAAGTTATTTGGGATTTGATTATGGAATTAATCTGAAATTATATTTTTATGAATGTACTCGTGATTCCCTTGACCGAGGGTTGACTAGGTCTGACGCTTTTTTGTCCAGTAGATTTGTACGACTCACGTTCTTCGAGAGCTACTTATAGGTTTCTATAAATAGTTGAATTAAAGGTTATTATTTATTCTGCTAGGATATTTATTCAGTTATTCTGATTCATAGGATCTAGCACTGTCGCTGACCGTGATAGGCAGACCCAAGAGTAGGCTACATTATCTGATTTCTCTGAACAATACATGTGTTTCCCTATTGGTGTTATAATACTTGTAACACCCTAAACCCGAATAGACCTAAGGTGCCACATTGGGATACCGAGGCAACCCTTGGTTTTCAAAACATGTTTATTTTCTTTTCAAATATATTGAATTGTATCAATAATAAACATAAATAACAGTTATAAAACATTTTATAAACTAAAGCTCCATGACACATAATTTAAATCAAAATAATAAAACCATGTCTCATAAATCTGAATACATAAGTAAGGTCCCATGAATACATATGCCCACTAAGCTACGGTATAGTACTCTAAAGGAGATCTAGAAGTCCTACTGCGACGGTGCTCCACGAACTGCTCAGCTACTGACATGCCAACGAAAAACATCTGAAGGTTGAGCTTACAAAGCCTAACAATATAATAGCTAATCTAAAGCAGCATTATGAGTTCCATAAACGTAAACATGCTAAAGACACGATACTAAGCAGTAGGTACATGCATGGTCTAAATCAAGTACTACCTATTTAGGCTTAATTGTTCTATCACTGAGTAAGAGTCTCACACTCCCCTTAATCCTCTATTAAGGGCCTCGCCATGAGTACACTATTAGAGGGTCTCTAACCCTAAAGACTATAATTGATATACATTATCTAAATGCGGTATTGACACTCATGTGCATTATCCGAATGCCATACTGACTTCACTATGCATTATCTGAATGCCATACAAACTAATATATGGTTTCACATAGCCATCAAATACTAGCTAACAGAGGGAGCCCGGTGTCACATAGCATCGATGCAATTCCTACTAGTTGCTGAATAATCTCCTGGTCTTCACATAGTCATCAGGTAGATCATTGAGGGGGGAACCATGCCATCACATAGCAATTGGTAACTCTAATTTTACAAAGAATTAACTCAGTCTCACACAGCCGTCAAGCCAAACTTTGAGGATATTTGTCGTACTGGACTGATACAACTATACATGCATACCTAAGGCCTAAAGGCCATACAACACTAACATTGCTAACCCACTCCTTACAAGTGTTCAGGCCTCGCGTTCTGGTTAGCCCTTGAAGTGCTTCGCGCACTAACAACACCTCACTAGGGAAACTAAGTAACCTGGTTATACCGTAACATAGCTGGTCTCACTAAAGTGATATCATCCTTTCACTAGCTGCTACCTCGCTTGTTCTCTTATCTAGAACGTTATGTAAGGGTTTATTAGTCTGTTGCTACTGTTAATTCATTAAGTTTCTATATTCTGATCGTTTGTTATTTAGGATGATTAGTCATTCAATCTCTAAAGAAATCTCTACGTGTTACTTGATTTTATGATAATTTATGTGATTGTTGTTCATGTCTTTAGTGTTGGCTAGTCTGTTATCTAATCAAGTTCATTACTGGGTAATGATTCTCTAATTGCTTTTATTATGCTTCCCTAAATTCACTCTCTAATTGGAGGGACAAGTGCACATTCACAATTCGTTGACATTCTTGTTGTACACGACTCCGTTACTTCGAATTCTGACTAATCTATCATATTGCTTGTCGGTATATCCCATGTTACGATCCTTAATCCTTAGATACTCATTACGTGTTCGATTGATAATACTTCGGTGCATTATACCTCCCATGGTTACTCTGATTGTAACTCGCTCCTATGAGTTTCTCTAGGGCCTCTTCGACCATTTATGTCCCCTACGGACTAAGTTTTATCATCACAGACCATTCTTAGCTCTTATGAACCTTAACTGGGTTGAATCTGATCATCCAAAATGGGTAGTATCGATACTCTACTTGTAGTATCGATACCCCTATGAGTATCTATACCAAAAATAACTTTGAAGTCCTGAAAAATAGCCAGTATCGATACCAGACACCCTTAGTATCAATACTGTAAGGGCAATATCGATATCTCCCCATCAATATCGATATTCCCTTGCTGAAATCCCTAATTTTAGCCCTAATTCATCTAGTATTGTTACTGTTCATCCCATTATCGATACTCGAACCCATAAATGGTTTTTATAGGCTCGAAAATCATCTAAAAATCACTCTAAAGGCCATAGTTTGGTTCTTAAACATGTTTTAAAGTTGTAGGATGTTATTTAGGGTCTTATGGTAGCATAAAAGCATATTCTTTACAACTAAAATGTCCTTTGATCATAAAATTATGTATAAACCCTAAAATGCTTATTTTTCACAAAGCATAGCAATTTCTCATATTTATGAAAGTCTTAACACTCCAAAGATTAAAAATACACTACCTTGATGTTTGAATCCTGAAATTGAGCTCCTTGCTTAGCCACACTCTTCTCCTTGGTGATTTGGATGGAAACCCCCATTTTTCTTTAGCTAGGAATAAATCAAGGCTTTGATTCTTTAAAACTATGTTGCAAGGGGGATTAAGAACAAAAATGAAACAAGAAAAAAAGGTTCAAAACCTTACCTTGGAACCATGGATACTTAGAGAAGATGAAGGAAGAAGAAATGAAGAGAAGAGAAATATAATGAGATATAAAACCCTCGTCTTTGCAAAATGAGGAAATTGTACAATTAGTCATTCCTTGTTTTTCTACAATTTTAAATCCCTTTTTAAGCCTTATTGGGCCCAAATCCAAACCTAATTAAGCCTAACAACTTTACTTATGAATTTCACGAGGTCCACTTACCTCTCGGGTAAACCTGAAACCACTAGCCCGAAATTTAGGGTGTTATAATATTGTTTTGAACTATCTGTCTAAACTATTTTAAAATTCTATTTATATTAAATACTCTAATTGCATGATATCTGATTTACCGTATACTTTTTACATGATCTCTGGTTATTGTATTTCTGTACTGATTCTGGAAAATGTCATAATCTCATGTTTTAAAGTATTAAATTATCATTTTCACTCAAACACATGCATATTTACTGTCATTGGGGGTATGATTTGAGGAAGTATCTCAGGCTTAGTCTATGACTTGTAAGACCTTACCGCATGCTCCTCTGCTTTGTGCATAGGGTAAGTCCTTACCGCATACCTTTATGCTATCAATATAAGGTCCTTACCGGGTTTACATGTGGGGTGTATGGTTTAGGAGAATCTACACATTCTGGTGATTGGATGGGGTAGTGTTCATGTTTTCAAAACCTATTTTACAAATAAACTTTTATCGAAGTATTTTATTTGTATGTTTTATACACCGCAAGGAGCACACTAGGCTTTTTAGCTCATTCCTTAATTTTTAACTTTTCAAATAGTACAAGACAGTAGGCTAGCAGACTCGTCATCAATAGAACCGATCTCTCCTCGCTTTTGT